ATGGAACAGGCTACCCTTGGGACTAAGCTCCCTGTCCCTGGAAGTATGCAAGCTCATGTTGAAGACGCTGCTGAGGACCTCTGAAAGCAAGCGTAAGATCCCTAGGATTCTGACTGTGGGTATCTGCCTATGCTACTACTAGAAGGAAAAACACAAATTTAATTCTCCTACCTGAGAGTAAGGGAAGAGGCTCCCTCCTCCCCAGTTCTCTCTGAATTCACTTTAGAGATCTTGTAATTGTCAATTCTCTGTTTCTTTGAAAAGTATGTAAATCTAAGAGGTCTCCTCAAAGATCTGGCAGCTAGCTCTTGGAAACGTAACTTCAGGTGATCCTCCAATACCTTCCCATATCCTGGAAGGAGATACTCAGGTGGCCTAGCCCTATCTCCAGCTCCAAAGATTAGAAAATTAACAATTATCTTGAAAACATGAATGTAATGAATTGTATCATCCCTTTAGCTGTATAATGGTTGCTGAATAGAAAAATAACAGATGTCTTTCTTTGATTTTAAGGTTTCTCTTCTCTCCCAAAGCAAATATTAACCATAAAAAAAACCTCATCCAAACTGCAAAAGCCTGCCAGAAACTGCTCTATAGTATTGTAAATCTGTCTTATCCTGCTAGAAAAGGAGTTGTCAAACCATTACCTCCTAATATAAATCTCAGAAAGCCTCATGACAGCAGGTGGGGGGAGGGCCAAATTACTAGCAGCCAGGCCAGAAGTAACCTGGTATCAGTTGATCTCAGTAAAGGGGGAAGGACGGTTCAATCAATCACGTTTAGATTAGCCTGTGGTTGATCTCCTACATTTCTCCTTCCTCTTCTCATTACGAAGCCCTGGTTGCATAGTGGTAAAGAGCTCAGCTGCTAACAAAAAGATTGGCAGTTCGAATCCACCCTATGGGGCAGTTCTAGTCTGTCCTATAGAGTGGCTATGTGTCGGAATTGACAGCAATAGATTTCTCCGCATTATAAGCCCTGTTGTACCTAGCTTCTTCAAGCCATTTGCTTTTTCTAGAACCAAAATTGCTTCCCTATATGCATCTAGAATAACTGCTCAGAATAAACCTTACGTTCAAATTCTGGTGAATTTTATTTTTAACATGGTTAAGATTCCCTTCTGTCTTTGTAATCTTTTAGCGGACCGCCTGTGATGCATCACATTCTGGTTTGATGCTTATTCAATAATAAAACTTTTCTATTTTTCATGGACGGGTTTTCTGGGTTGAAAGTAGATTTTGTTTTTTGGTAACTTTTCCCCAACAATACAAAGCTCAACAAAGACTAAACAGCCCTTCGTTCCAACATACAATGCGCTAAACCCTTCTATCTCCCATATTCCTCACAACCCTAACATCTCCATCTCACAGCCGAGGAAACTTGAGGCTCAGGAAAACTAGAAATTTACCCAAGATCACACAGCCAGGAAGCGGCAGAGTCAGAATCTGAACTCAAGGCTCTCTGCTTCCAAGCCTGTGCTCCCAACCAATACCCTCAGCACTGCCCCATGGATCACTGTGCTACAATGGCAGCTATAAATAGGCAACTGGAGGGCCAGCCCCAGCCCCAAGAGGTAGGTCAGGAAGGATTGAAGGTGCCAAACACAAATGGCCCTGTTGCCAAATATGTCCTGGGCCTTAAGAATACTACTGCATAAACTATGCTCTGTCCTCAACAGCCTTCTAACCCTCCACCTCCACATAGCTAAACCCTTCAGGGGCCCTCCCTAATTACCTGGGGAGGAACCCTGGTGATGCAGTGATTAAGTGCTCCACTGCTGCTAACTGAAAGGTCGGCAGGTTGAACCCACCTGCAGCTCCCAGGGCAAAAGATGTGGCAGTCTGTTTCCGTAAAGATTACAGCCTTGGGAACCGTATGGGGCAGTTCTACTCTGTCTTATAGGGATCCCTATGAGTTGGAATCAACTCAATGGCAATGGGTTTTCGTTTTTGGAATTTACCCTGGCTCCTAATGAGCCTCCCTTTCTGAAGTCTCTTCTCCAAAGCACACTGGGACCACCTCCTCTTGAAACAGAAACAGCTAGAGCCAGGCTTTGGGTTCTCTCACTGCAGATCCTGGCTCTACCCATGAGATCCTGGACAAGTTCCTTACCCTCTCTGAGTCTGTTTCCTCATTAGTAAACCCTGATAAGATCATCCTTCTCCACAGAACTTGGGGAAGACTAGAAAAATAACAAAGAGATGGGCACTAAATAGTACCCATTTATACTTATTCTCGAAAGGTTTTGGGATCTGCCATAAGCAAATCCATACACCTTACACAACATTCCGCCACATTCCACCCACACAAAGATCTGTAGCATCAAGGCCTCCAGGTTTTTATATCAAAAGAGAATCTCAGGAAGTTTGGCAAACTTGTCTATCTGCTTCTTAAGAGGACATCTGCACAAATCCAGCATGTCTCTTTTTGCCTAGCTGCGAGGAAGCTCAACAAAGACTCAAACAGCTTTAAATTTGCTACAGATTCCAGAGTACAATGATATCTTTTCCCTTTCTTTAAGTGGGTCCCCTACTCCCCACCATCAACTTTCAAAAATATATGTGGCTTAATATCATACTCCATGTAATATTCTTTCTGGAACTAGATGGAGGAAAAGTGATAAATCAGCGAACAGTGCCCGACATTTGTGAAGAATTCTGAACTGGTCTTAGGACACATTCTGTGCTGTACAAAAAGCACATCTCCTTCTCAAGGAGCTGGGGCCTTCCTACCCCTCTTCCTCCCACCCCACTTTGAACACTTCACCAAATCCTGGAGAAACGAAGGGGTGTGATGGGGAATTAGTTCCATCTTCCATTTACTGCCTCCTCCATGCTGCCTTCCTTGATCCCTCCAGAAGGGCATTCTCTGGGCACCTTCTAAACTGACCAAGAGCTCCTGGAGAACAGGCACTGGGCCTAGGGTCCCTGTCACCAGTTGACAGTACTGGGCCCTGCGGCCCTTAGGAGCATAGCAGAGAGTGGAAATTAAGAGCATGGGCCATAAAAGGAAGACCACTTAGCTTAAATCCCAGCTTTACCACTCCTGGGTTGTGAGATCTCGGGCAAGGAACTGGTCTCTGAGCCTCAGTTTCCTCACCTGTAAAATGGGGGCAATACAAAGCACTTGGCAAAAGACCTGGAGCCCAGTGCGCACCTGGCTGGTAGGAGTTGCTGCTGTTACTATTATGGCTTCCTAGCGGATGGTAGTGCTTGTTGGGTGAACCCCTGTCTCAGATCCAGTGGAACTGTCCATTGCCGGAGAAACAGCTCAGGAAGCAGCTTCTCCAACAAGGTTGGAGAAGGCTCTACAAGGCATGGGTGTTCAGAAGTCTGATGGGAGTCCCTCACCTCCCAGGCACAAAAGCACTGCCGGGGAGGGGCAAAGGAAGTACACCCCCTTACACCCAGACTTTGGGAGTCTGGAGACCCAAATGCCGAGGTCCACCAAAGGACTCCTGGCAAGTCTTACGTTCTACCTAGACCTCAGTCTCTTCATCTGTGCAATGGGACCCAGATGCTCAGGGCTGCTGAGCCTGCAGGGTACCCCCAAATCAGGAACACAAGCCTCTTCCAAAGGAGGCCACCAAGGTCCTTGCAGGCCATAGTGTCAGCAAAAAAAAAAACAAACCAAAAACCCTGCTGCCATCAGTCGATTCTGACTCATAGTAACCCTATAGCACCCTATAGGACAGAGAACTGCCCTGTAGGGTTTCCACGGCTGTACTGTAATCTTTACAGAAGCAGACTGCCACATCTTTCTCCCACGGAGCAACTAGTGGGTTCAAACTGTCGACCATTCAGTTAGCAGTCGAGTGCTTAACCACTGCACCACCAGTGCTCCTTCAGAGTCTCAGCAAAGCCCTCTTCATTCCAATTCTCAACATTCAAATGCAAATGAGCCACGTGCACAGGTCCTGTTTACCAGAGGCTAACCCTCAGGCCTCCTAAAAGGCCAGGATCCACCCTGCTACCCCAGGCAATGTCCTCAGCCCAGAGAAGGCCCCTTGGCTGATCTCAAACCTCCTCCCCCACAAAAAAAAAAAACAAAAACCAAACCCATTGCCAACAAGTTAATTCCGATTCATAGCAACACTATAGGACAGAGCAGAACTGCCCATAGGGTTTCCCAAGCTGTAATCTTCACACAAGCCGATTGCTCTCTTCTGTGGAGCCACTGGTGGGTTCAAACCGCTGACCTTTTGGTTAGCAGCAGAGGGCTTAACCACTGTGTCACCAGGGCTCCTCCTAAGGCTGTCAATAAAACCAAATCCCTATTTCTCACGGAGGTACTCCAGGGCCTCCCCGGCTTCTGCCACACCAGAAACAAGTGCTTCAACACCAACATCACCAACCTGTTTACTACACCCCACTCCCCTTGAACCTTCCCATCTCCAAGCCTTGGCTCACACCAGGCCCCACCCTTGGAATGCCTTTTCCTTCCTCTGCCCTAGATTTCACTCAGTGAAGTGCCCCCTCAAAAGCCACCTCCTCCATGAAGCCTTCCTGACTCATAATTTCTTTCTCTGCCCATTTACTTTGGGCTCTCCCCTCGGACCAGGGCAGCACCTGACACTGTCCCCCACCGTGCCCCGGAGACCAGCCCACAGCCTAGCCCACACACCCTCAGTCTGCAGCTCTCCCTACCAGCAGACTTAAATTAGTCCCGGAACTGGGCCTTCCCCACTCCCCACCCCGGAGGGCAGAGAATCTCAACAACAACAAAAAAAAAACCACTCCGGTAGAGGAATTTAAAATGTTGATTTCTGGGCAGCTCTTGCTGATATTCAAATGCCAATTCCACATTTTTCCAGAGGTGGGATACAAGAATCTGCATTTCAAACAAACCCCTCGAGAGAGTCTGTGGCTGGAGTGGGGGAGGGGCCGCAGAGATTTGAGAAATTCAGAGAAGACTGACCCGGACGGAGGTGGGCGCCCACCTTGGGGGCGGGGTAGATCCCAGCAGGCCTCAACCCAGCCTTTGGCAACCAGCGTACCCACCTCCTGCCGGAGATTGGCAGCCTCGTCGGAGGTGCAGGGAGCAGCGGGGAAGGCCCTTTCGGTGGACTGTAAAGGTAGATCCTGGTCCACCTTCTTTTGCACCTTAGTCCTCTGAAAATGGCCCAGGCTCTCAGCTGCCGGGGACGCCTCCCACAGGGGGCAACCACCCAAGTTCCCGACTCCCCACACAAAAGGGTCTGTGGGGAGAAAGCTAACACACTCTGGCGTGAAACTAATGGGGGGGCGGTGGAGAGGGTATCCCCATCTGTCTGCCTCTTCTAGGGTCTGCATAGGGGCCTAGGAGGGACAGGAGTCGTGAGGCTGGCTTCCCACAAACGGCCCCCCCAACTCCAAGCGCGGTATCTCGGTCCCATGGGGCCGGCCAAACTGGCTGAAGCCCGCAGGTCACCCAGTGGAAGCCAGAAGGACCCGGCTACCCCGCGGGCGCCCACAGGACCGTGCCTAAGTGTATGTGTTGGGAGAATGGACGGGCCCTCTCGATCAGGCGGGGAGTGTTCTGGGGCGGGGGTGGGGGGGCAGCCAAGCGGAGCCGCTGGGAGCGAGAGTGGACTTTGCCTCGAGCCAGGTCCCCTGGAGGGCTGGGTGGGCGGCATTGTCCTGGCAGAATGTGTGCGTACTGTAGTACACTGTGACTGTAATATGGGCGCTCCTGTTGAGAGTGTGGCCGCCCGTGACCACGTTCGTGGTGATGGGTGGGGGGAATTACGGGTTAGATAGTGGGACCGGGTTAGAGAGTGCGATCATGTCAGAGGTGCACAGTACGTGTGCTCTCGCAGGGTTTGCGGCGGAGGCATCTCTGGTGAGAGGATGCCTGGAGGATTTGGGGACGTCGGTTCTAGAGGAACCCCTTGGGTAGGCCGGACGCGTCGGTGCGCGTGTGAGCCGCGACGCGCAGCCCCTTCTTAGCCCAGACCGGATCCCCCGGCCCCGCGGCCCCGCGCGCGCCTTACCAGCTGCAGCAACATGAGCGCACCGATGCTGGAGCGCACGAAGCCCAGGTCCAGTCGTAGCGACGAGGCAGAGGCGCCGGCGCCCTGCGCGGGGCTGCTCGTCCGCGTGCTCACTTTAGACGGGAACTCGGCCATGGCGTCTCCGCTCTCCTAGCGAGGCTGCTCCAGCCGCCGCCCCTCCCGCGGTGGGTGCCGGCTCCGAGCCTTGCTCCCCGGGGTCTCCGGCTCCCGCTGCGGCTCTGGGCTACGCGCGAAGTCGTGGAGAGGAGCTAGAAGCCACCAGGTGCGGCCCGAAGCCCGGTCCCCGCCCTCCCCGCGAGACCCGCCCCTTTAACCCTTTGCTCGCCGTCGGCCCGGCCTCGAACGGTTTGTACGCTGCCACGATCACTTTCGAGACAGGGAAACTGAGGCCATGGTCAGCGAGGCGGCTTCTTCAGAGGAGCCGCGCGGGTTTCTCCTGCTGGGAAAGCTGCCTCCTGGGAATTTCCCCGTGCTTGCCGCGTCTTGGACCGCTCCTCCGCGCCCTCCTGGCCCGCAGCTTCGGTGTCTCGGAATAAACTTGCACCTGCCTGCAGAGTGCCCTCGGACAAACCACTGCGCCTTTCCGGAACTCTCCATAAAGTGGGAGCGGCATCCCTGTCCAGCTACTCCTACAGAGTCCCTGGGTAGACGGAGGTACGGGGAGAGGGAGTCTGAGTAAAATGCGGGGTGCGCAGAGGGACAGGGTGGTCTTTTTGTAGCTTGATGTGGTTTTTCACTTCTGAACATACTGAACAGTAACTTGGAAGCCACGAGCCTCAGTTTTCTCACCTGTAAGATAGATATATGAAGGGACCTCACCTCACAAAGCTGTTGGAAGGAATAAATAAGATATTCCATGGAAAGTTTCTAGGACAGGCCCTGGCACCCGTGGGGGGAGCACTCAGAAGGTAGAAGGTGGTATTGGGGTTTCATTACTCCACCTGCACCCTAAAACTCATATGCACGGACAAACACACACACTGACCATTGCTCATAGGAGGTTGCACAGATAATTCGTTTATTCATCAACCAATGTTTGCCGAGCCCTTGCTACGTCAGGCCCTATCCCAGGCCCTGGAGTTACAGCAGGGAACAAGCCAGAAAGGCCTCTCAAACCCCACTTTCTTTCTAGTGGGGGTGACAGGTATCAAACCAGGGAGACAATAATTTGATAGTGATAAATGCTATGACTAAAATTAAACAGGAATGTAACAGAGAGTGACCAGGAGCAATTTTTAGGTGGATGGTCAAGGAAGACCTCTGGGAGGAGGAGAAATTTATGCAGAAGTCTGAATCCTGAGTAGGGGCCAATCTTGGGTAGAGCTGGGAGGAAAACTGACTTAGCATGTGCCAAAGCCCTGAGGCTAGACCAGGATAGACAACTTGAGAAATAGAAAGAAGGTCCCTGCTCCAGCTGGGATAAAGTGAGTGAGGATGAGATCAGGCATGGGGCAGGGGCCAGGCCACACAGGGTTGTTTAGATGATTATATTAGTTTCATGAGGGTCCTGGGTGGCATAAACAGTTAAGTGCTAGACTAGGTTGGTGGTTAGAATTCACCCAGAAGCACCTTGGAAGAAAGGTCTGGTGATCTACTTTCAAAAACGGGCCACTGAAAACTCCACGGAGTACAGTTCTATCCTGACACATGTGGGGTCGCCATGAGTGGGAATTGATTTGATGGCAACTAGTTTTGTTTGTTTTTTTTTTGGTTTTATTGGTTACCTAAGGCTGCTGTAATAAATTACCACAAATGTGGTGGCTTAAAACAACACACATTTATTCTCTCACAGATCTGGAGGCTGGAAGTCTGAAATCAGTTTCACAGAGCCGAAACTATGGTCTCAGTAGGACTACGCTTCCTCCTGAGGCTCTAGGGGAGAATCTATTTCTTGCCTCTTCTTGCTTCTGGTGGCTGCCGGCACTCCTTGGTTTGTGACCACATCACTCCAATCTCTGCCTTTATAGTCACGTTGCCTCCTCCTCTTCTGTTGTATCAAGTCTCCCTCTGCTTCCCTCTTACAAGAACACTTGCGTTTGGGTTTAGGGCCCACTCAGATAATACAGGATATTCTTCTTGTGCCAAAATTCTTAGTTTAATCACATCTGCAAAGACCCCTTTGTCTTATGAGGTAAAACTTAAAGATTGTAGGGATTAGTATCTGATATCTTTGGGTGGCCATTATTCAGCCACTAGAATGCTGGAGAAGGAGCCCTGGTGGTGCAATGGTTAAGCCCTTGGCTACTAACCAAAGGTTGGTGGTTCCAACCCACCGGCGACTATGCGAAAGAAAAGACCTGGTGATCTGTTCCCTTAAAGATTACAGCCTAGTAAACCCTATGGGGCAGTTCTGCTCTGGCACATTGGGTCACTAAGAGGCAACTGCTAACAACAACACAATGCTAGAGGGGGCTTAACATTTTATTCTAAGGCCTGGAGAGTTTTAGAGGCCTGGTAGTGCAGTAGTTGAGTGATACTGCTGCTAACCAAAAGGTCAGCAGTTCGAATCCACCAGCTGCTCCTTGGAAAACCTATGGGGCAGTTCTACTCTGTCCTATAGAGTCACTATGAGTTAGAATTGACTTGACTGCAGTAAATTGGAGAGTTTTAACAGGGGAGTGACAATATATGATGGCACTTTGAAAATATCATGGGTTGGTGCTGACTTAACCCTTTATCCACTCGACTGGATGTTCAGCCCCTTCCCCCCATGCACCTGGGCACTCTTACCGCTCCATTCCCCGCACCTCCCCCCCACACACACATAGTAAGTGCTCTAGAAATGAAGAGTGCAACTTAGCTACTACAAAATCATTACCCAGAGGCCAGGCCCTGCCGACTGAGTCCAAGGGCACAGCAAAGCCCTGGTGGGCCCTTGATTTTATCATGACACAGAAAACAATAAAGTGACTGTTTCTGAGGCACATTCTAAGACAGTGGGGTGTTTTGGTTTTGTGCCTTTTTTGTTTTGTTTTTCTTTGGCTTTGGTTTTATTTATTTATTTATTTTTTTGGTTAATCCCACTTTCATTCCTTTCAAATGGCAGAAAGCAAGACTGAATCACGGCACTGTTTTTCACTTTGATATTTTCTTCCAAACCAACTTCGCTCGCCCCCAGTCAGAAAAAGTGGGAAGGAACAAGGAACCTGTCCCCAGGCTGGAGCCAGCCGCCCACCCAGAGTCTTCACTGGTACCATGGAAAGTCCTGGATTCTTGCAGATGGGGGCAGAGTGCCAAGGATGAGGAGGAGAAGGCCTGTCTACTCCCAGGGCTGGTCCCTGCTGCGGGGTCTCAACAGACCGTGTCCACACAGTTCACCTGCAGCACATGTCTGGTCTTAGTTCTTGTCAATCGCTAAGCCCTTACTGCGTGCTAAGCCTGCCCTCCTATGGGTGGGTGGCAGGGGCAGGGCATGCTGAAGAGGGTCGGAATTCAGGCACTGAGCAAATGTTTAGCGAATACCTTGGGTGCAGCAGGCACTGCAGACAGAGCCATACGCAGTAGACAGGATCCACCATTAGGGAGCTGATAGTCAACTGGGGAGACAGACATTCTAAATATGTTGTGTTGTTGTTAGATGCTGTCGAGTCAATTCTGACTCACAGCTACCCTATGCACCACAGAACGACACACTGCCAGGTCCTATGCCATCCTCACAATCCTTGCTGTCCTTGAGCCCATTGTTGCAGCCACTGTGTCTATCCATCTCACCGAGAGTCTTCCTCTCCTTGGCTGACCCTCTTCCCTAACAAGCATGATGTCCTTCTCCAGGGACTGATCCCTCCTGGTAACATGTCCAAAGTATGTGAGATGTAGTCTCGCTATCCTTGCCTCTATGGAGCATTCTGGTTGTACTTCTTCCAAGACAGATTTGTTCATTCTTTTGGCAGTCCGTGGTATATTCAATATTCTTCACCAACACCACAATTCAAAGACGTCAATACTTCTTCCGTCTTCCTTATTCATCGTCCAGCTTTCACATGCATATGAGGCGATTGAAAACACCATGGCTTGGGTCAGGCACACTTTAGTCTTCAATGACATCTTTGCTTTTCAACACTTTGAAGAGGTCTTTTGCAGCAGATCTGCCCAGTGCAGTGCATCTTTTGATTTCTTGACTGCTGCTTCCATGGGTGTTGATTGTGGATCCAAGTAAAATGAAATCCCTGAAAACTTCAATCTTTTCTCCATTTATCATGACGTTGCTTATGGGTCCAGTTGTGAGGATTTTTGTTTCCTTTATGTTGAGGTGTAATCCATACTGAAGGCTGTGGTCTTGGATCTTCATCAGTAAGTGCTTCAAGTCCTCTTCACTTTCAGCAAGCAAGGTTGTATCTGCATAACGCAGGTTGTTAATGAGTCTTCCTCCAATCCTGATGCCCTGTTCTTCATATAGTCCAGGTTCTCAGATTATTTGCTCAGCATACAGATTGAATAGGTATGGTGAAAGGATACAACCCTGACACACATCTTTCCTGACTTTAAACCACACAATATCCCCTTATTCTGTTCAAATGACTGCCTGTTGATCTATGTATAGGTTCCTCATGAGCACAATTAAGCATTCTGAAATTCCCATTCTTCACAATGTTATCCATAATTTGTTATGATCCACACAGTTGAATGCCTTAGCATAGTCAATAAAACACAGGTAAACATTTTTCTGGTATTCTCTATTTTCAGCCAGGATCCACCTGACATCAGCAATGATATATATCCCTGGTTCCACGTCCTCTTCTGAATCCAGCTTGAATTTCTGGCAGTTCCCTGTCGATGTACTGCTGCAGCTGCTTTTGAATGATCTTCAGCAAAATTTTACTTGCATGTGATATTATTGATATTGTTCGATAATTTCCGCATTCGGTAGGATCACCTTTCATGGGAATAGGCATAAATATGAATCTCTTCGAGTTGGTTGGCCAGGTAGCTGTCTTCCAAATTTCTTGGCATAGACGAGTGAGCACATCCAGTGCTGCATACATTTGTTGAAACATCTCAGTTGGTATTCCGTCAATTCCTGGAGCCTTGTTTTTTGCCAATGCCTTCAGTGTAGCTTGGGCTTCTTCCTTCAGTACCATTGGTTCTTGATCATATGCTACGTCCTGAAATGGTTG